AGCTTAATTTGGAAATGAGACAATTGGGGGTGGAGCAAGGTCACGAAATGGAAGAGAAGGGCAGAGGACAGCTTAATTTGGAAATGAGACAATTTGGGGTGGAGCAAGGTCACGAAATGGAAGAGGAGGGCATAGGACAGCTACAAGAACTGTTGCGGAAGCATGAGGCAGCCCTCAACATGCCCACCGGATTACCCCCCCATAGAGTGAAGGACCACCGGATAATCTTTGAGGATGGCAGCGGACCGATTAGTGTCTGACCATACCGATATCCCTATTTTCAAAAGAATGAAATAGAAAGATTGGTGAAGGAGATGTTGGCTGCTGGAATTATTCAGCCGAGTGTGAGTCCCTATTCCAACCCGGTCTTGCTTGTAAAAAAAAAGGATGTTTGTTGGAGATTTTGTATCGATTATAGAGCGTTAAACAATGCCACATTTCCGGATAAATTTCCAAACCCTGTGATAGAGGAGTTGTTAGATGAATTGTGTGGTGCCACCATTTTCACCAAATTAGATTTGAAGTCGGGGTATCACCAAATCTGCATGAGTGACGAGGATGTACCTAAAATGGCTTTTCGAACTCCGGAGGGACACTATGAATTCCTAGTTATGCCATTCGGATTGACAAATGCACCGGCGACTTTTCAGTCCTTAATGAACGAGGTACTTCAGCCGTTCTTACGCTGATTTGTGTTGGTCTTCTTTGATGATATTTTGATTTACAGCTATTCGTGGGAGGACCATATGGAGCAATTGGACAGGGTTATGTCAGTTTTGAGGGCCAACCATTTGTACGTCAACAGAAAAAAATGCCTTTTTGCTCAGGAACAATTGGAGTATTTGGGTCATGTGGTTTCCCGGACTAGAGTAGCCACGAATTTCAGTAAGATACAAGCCATGTTGGATTGGCCATCCCCATGGACCATTAAGGAGTTGCAGGGATTCTTGGGTCTAACGGGATACTACCGTAGGTTTGTGGCTGGGTATGGGCGTATTGCGTGGTCATTGACGCAGCAACTTAAGAAGGATGCTTTTGCTTGGAATTCGGAGGCTGAGGAGGTGTTTCAGTGCTTAAAGAAAGCTATAACTGAAATTCCAGTTTTGGCTTTGCCAGATTTCTCTTAACCTTTTGTGGTGGAATCTGACGCTTCGGGATTTGGGGTAGGAGCGGTTTTGATACAACAACAGCGGCCCATCGTTTATTTTAGCCAAGTCCTCTCAGTGCGTGCTTGTGTCAAATCGATCTATAAGCGAGAGCTAATGGCCATTGTGCTAGCCATTCAGAAATGGCGACCTTATTTGTTGGGAAGGCGTTTTTTGGTGCGCACCGATCAAAAAAGTTTGAAGTTCTTATTTGCTCGTGCCAAATCGGTCTATAAGCGAGAGCTAATGGCCATTGTGCTAGCCATTCAGAAATGGCGACCTTATTTGTTGGGAAGGCGTTTTTTGGTGCGCACCGATCAAAAAAGTTTGAAGTTCTTATTGGAACAGTGCTTAGTGAGTGTGGAGCACCAGCGGTGGCTGTGCAAATTGGTTGGCTATGATTTTGAGATACAGTACAAACCGGGGCCAGAAAACAAGGTGGCTGACGCCCTTTCGAGACAACAAGTGGGGCTGGTTTTGATGGTCATGACTACTCCAATGGTGCTCGATATTGAGGAGTTGCAGCGGCAGGTTAAGGCAGATCCGGAGCTCAACAAAACCATAGAGGGGATGCTGGCTGGAACGCACTCTTCGACGGGATTTACTCTTCAACGGGGGCATCTACTTTACAAAGGAAGGTTGGTCGTTCCTCCAAAATCTCCACTAACTCCAATCTTATTACGAGAGTTTCATAGTAGTAAGATAGGCGGCCATTCTGGGGTCTTAAAGACGTACAAACGGCTGGCTTTGGAATTTTTCTGGAGGAGAATGCGCAAGGATGTTGAGTCTTTTGTGGCTGCTTGTGCTGTTTGTCAACAACATAAGACGTCCACTTTGTCTCCGGCGGGATTGTTGCAGCCTTTCCCTATAGCGAACTGGGTTTGGGATGATATCTCCATGGACTTTATTGAGGGTTTACCGAGATCTGTGGGTTATAATTCCATTTTGGTTGTCGTGGATCGCCTAAGTAAGTACGGCCATTTCATTGGCTTAAAACACCCATTTTCTGCCAATACAGTGGCTGTTGTTTTTGTTCGTGACATCGTGCGCCTGCATGGGTTTCCACAGAGCATCATCTCCGACCGAGACAAGGTTTTTATGAGCCATTTTTGGAAGGAACTTTTCAGGTTGCAGGGCACTACCTTGTGTCAGAGTACGGCGTATCATCCACAAATGGATGGCCAGACGGAGGTCGTAACCCGCTGTTTGGAGGCTTATTTGCGTTGCTTTGTCTCTGGCCAGCCTAGACAGTGGTTTACACATCTTTCGTGGGCGGAGTATTGGTACAATACGAGTTTCCATGTCTCGGCTGCCATGATGCCATTCAAAGCTCTTTATGGGCGAGATCCTCCGCAGTTGGTACCTTATGAGGCTGGTTCTACAGCCACATCAGAGTTGGAGAGGCAGCTACCGTGATGCACTATTAACGGAACTGAAGGACCATTTGGGACGCGCCCAACAGACTATGCGAGACCATGCAAACCGGAAGTGTCGTTCCGTGGAGTTTGAGGTAGGGGACATGGTTTATTTGAAGCTCTAGCCATATCGTCACCGAGCGTTGGCGCGAGTGAGGAATGAAAAGCTGTCCCCTCGCTATTATGGGCCGTTTCAGATCCTGGCTCGAGTTGGACCAGTGGCATACCGATTGCTCTTACCGTCTCACGCTCGGATTCATTCCTCCTTTCATGTGTCCCGCTTGAAGAAGGCACTTGGGCCGGTGGATATTCCCCAGTCTTTACCTCCAATGTTATCAGAAGATTTGACATTCCAGGTGGAACCCGCTCACGTCTTGGATACTCATTTTTCCCTTGCCACTGGGTCTTTGGAGGTTTTAATCAAGTGACGCCACCTTCCGGACTTTGAATCTTCTTGGGAGCCGTTTGAGGTGATTCAGCGCCAGTTTCTAGCTTTTCACCTTGAGGACAAGGTGACGTTTTTAAGGGGGGTGTAATTGATAAGCCCTTACTCAGGCAAGTGTATGTTAGTAGGAATAAAAGAGTCTAGGCAGGGACAGTTGTCTTTAGTGGCTGTGGTAGTACGGTATTAGTGGTTTAGTTAGAAATGTTAGTATTAGTTAGCTTACGGGGGAAGTTGGGTTGTTAGAAGGAAATTGTATAAAAGGGGAAAGAAGAGGGAAAAGCAGTTATCGGGAAGTAAACAGAAAGTGAACAAGTCTTGGAACAATTCCAAGCAAAGGGAGGAAACAGACCCTCGAAGTTTTGCCGTTCAGTGTATAGTGATTGTTGTCAATAAAATCCTTCGTTGATTCTTTCTTCGTTCTTACGAATTTGTCAATAGTTCTCTTAGTTCTTGTACAGACAATGCAGAGCTTATCAGCTCCTTTTATGCTAACAGCTAGCCTAACACGCTAGGTCTCCTAAAACTTCTAACCACCTTTCTAACACTCCCCCTTAAGTTGGAGAGTACAAGTTGAACATTCCCAGCTTGTCTATCAACTTTTCAAAGACAGGTTTATAAAACACCCTTTATTAGAATATCTGCAGTTTGTTCTGAAGTCGGCACATAAGTCATACAGATTGTTCCATCTTCAATCTTCTCTTTAATGAAATGCCTATCCACCTCTACATGCTTGGTTCGGTCATGATGAACGGGATTGTGCGAGATGTTAATAGCTGTTTTGTTATCACAAAAAATTCTCAAAGGTGTCTTCAGGTCAACCTTTAATTCTTCTAGGAGTAACTTAAGCTAGATTCCTTCACATACTCCATGAGCAACAGATCTCAAATCTGCTTCTACGCTGCTTCTTGCTACAACCGCCTGTTTCTTGCTTCTCCATGTTACTAGATTGCCCCATAGGAACGTGCAATAACCGGATGTTGATCTTCGATCACTAATTGATCCTGCTCAGTTCGCATCAGTGAATACTTCTATTGAATGATCTTCAGTCTTCTTAAAGAACAAGCCTCTGCCAGGTGTTCCTTTCAAATACCTAAGAATTTGAAACACAGCTTCCATGTGGTCTTCATTAGGTGAATGCATGAACTGACTTACTCGGCTAACAGTAAAAGCAATATCCGGTCTAGTGTGTGATAGGTAGATTAGCCTTCCGACTAAGCGTTGATACCTCCCCTTGTCTACCAGACTTCTATCGGAATTTAGATCTAGTTTTACATTCGGATCCACTGGGGTATCTATTGGTTTGCAGCCCATCATCCCAGTCTCCTTGAAAAGATCTAAAACATATTTTCTCTGAGATACAGAAATACCGATCTTACTCCTGGCAATCTCCATTCCTAGGAAATATCTTAAGTTCCCAAAATCCTTCATCTCAAATTCCAGAGCTAGCTGTCTCTTTAGCTGCGCAATCTCATCTTCATCGTTTCCAGTTACAATAATGTCATCCACATAGACAATAAGAAGAGTTGTTTTTTCATTCTTATGTCTATAGAACAACGTGTGATCTCCATGCGCCTGTTGATACCCTTCTTTTTGAATAGCCTTGGTGAAACGGTCGAACCATGCCTTGGGTGACTGTTTTAAACCATACGAGGATTTCTTTAGCCGACAAACTTTTCCATCTTTCTTGCCTTCATCAAA